TGTAGGTGAAAGAACTTCTCACTAAGCTCCTAAAGTTGCTAAAAAGAAAGGTACCTCTTTTCTCATTTCTGTTATTGAATTAGTACTTTTAACAACATCTGAAACCACTTCAGCAAAACCTTCTAAACATAATTTACAACAAACCCTTGATAAGTTTAACTCTGTAATAAATCCAACCACAACTACTAATGAAAATCTGATCAATTCACCTTCTACCAATATTGCTCAAACTTAGCCAGAACTCACACAAGTTCTATCTAATATTGATCAATATGATCCACTCTTTGATACTCCCTAACCAGAAAATCCAAATACTGCTTTTGAACAATTGCATGAAACTGTTCAAATACTAGGCATAAACTTCCCTCTCAATGCTACCCAACCACCACATATCATCACCACTCCATCACAGAACTTTTCCATTCCAGATATCCCCTCTCCATATGAATCAACACCACCAAACTCTCCTATCACCATTTCCATCTCTCCAATTTCCATAGATATAAAAAAAGATCATTTACGAATTGTAATTGATCAACAAGCATGTAACAATCTTATCAATTTCTCTAGGAAAATAACCGTCCCAAAACTAAAACCAAAACCAACCAAACCAGATGTTGGTAATTTGTTGTTGATTTTTGAGACAAATGCTAGAATGGGTTAAATCTCTGAAGCAGGCTTACATCAACAATGGCAACCCAGCTGCATCTGAATTCCTCTGGACTCAGTTCAGAAAATGGTTCACTTCTTAACCCATCAAGCTAAAGGAACCAAACTATGAGCATTCTCAACAAAACTTATATGATCATTCGAAACTCTTCAAGGATCAAGTTATGAGCCTCTGGGAGAGGAAACATCTTCGACAATTGGATGACACTCCTTGATAATTCTCACACAAACTATAAACTAGAGAACCATCTCATGAACCTCAACCTTTGGTCATATTCAAAAGCAAAGGAAAATCTATTAAAGAATCTTCTGTGAGAGTAACTTCTGAAGAAACGGTTCCTGCTGAAGAGATAGCTCCATTCTCTCTCGTGCTGAGAACTCTGGATGAGTTGAAGAAAGAGAATGCAATTGTTAAGGACAAATTGGATAAACAAGATGAAACAAACAAAGAAATCAAAGGAATGTTGGGAAAGAAAGAAAAATCCAACAAAGATATAAAAGGTCTTCTAGAAGCACTGTTCACACGTCTTTCTCCTGCACATCCTTAGTTCTAGTCTTTTGTTTCTTTTGTTTTTGTTTTGTTTTCTTGTTGCTTAAATTTTGTTTGTTTTTGTTTCTCATTGTATTTTCCTTTGATTTTAAATGCATAAGTTTTTGCTCTGATTACATTTTTTTATTTCTATTTTTATTTATGACAAAAAGGGGGAGAAAGTGAGATATTTTGATATAAACAGTTCTGGACTAAGTCTCAAACATTTCTAATAAAGTAACGTCTGTTTCAATGTTTCTGAAAACAAATAGGGAAAGTATCACTCTAAATTGGTGGTATGCTTTACCTACCTTCAATATAGGCTTCTCAGATCTTCCATCATATGCTCTGACCAAACATCTTAAGGGAAGTATCTATTCGTAACAAGATCACATTAAATGATAATCATTACAAGATCAAGATTGTAACAAATGAAACATTATGGCAGGAAACAAGATCTTTATTTTTGGAAAGGATATTAACATCAAATCATCAATCTTCTAGAAATATTGTGCATGTCTCCAACGGATCTCTTGGATCAAATTCCTATATAAAGAAGACTTTGAAGAAGAATCAAAACAACACGCATACATGCATATCAAACAAGAGCACCCAAAATTCTCTGTTATTTTTATCTCTTGAATTATAGTTGTGCTGCGAATTTGTGTAAACATCACAGTTGTGATAAATCTTGTTAGAAGCAAAATCAAACACATTGTATAATTATTTTTAGTTGTATTTCCTTGAGAAACCAAGTCGTGGTTTGATCTCAAGAAGACGTTGACAATTGTCTTCCTGAATTGTAATAAGTTTTGATTAGTATATTAATACCTCGATTTAGAGAGGCGAAATCACCTTGATGGATGGACTGGAGTAGTTTGAGTTTAAACGAAAAGGGATAACCAACATGTTTTTAAGGTTTAATTTTTGAAAGTTCCAATTCAAACCCCCTTTCTTGTGTTTTTCTATCCTTCGCAGACAATCTCAACTCCGATTTTACATATCAGAGCAAGACCCACTTTATTCTACGAAAAGAAAATAGACGCACTTTGAAGCTACCCTTTAATGCTTCGACAACTACTCCTTTCACCTACGCGTTACCCACATGGAGGTAATATTCAAGCAGAAAGAGTGAGTAAATCATAATCATTATAAAAGACATAAAGAATAAATATATTACATATGCACATAGGCAAGGCATCACACATCATCAGAACCTCATGTTATACTCTTACCTTCACAACATCATCGATTTCTCCAAAGATCCCCACCATAGGCTCGATTCCCACTTGGAACCATAGTACTTCACAATTTTGCACTCAATCCACAATATGAGATTGATGCCTTCACTAGAAGATTGTCCTATCATCTTCACTGGACCAAAGTCCTAATAACATCACTGGACTGAAGCCCTAAACTATGCCATGAATGCATGATGCACAACAACATAATAAAAACGACCACATCTAGTCAAACGTATAATCATTCATGATTTCATCTTAGTTTCATCATATCATATCAATTAAACAATCATCAGCATATAATCTTAAATAAACAAACATCATTATAACATCCTCATTGAACAAACATCATCATATCATCATAATCGAGCAAAGCATCCCCATAATCCAACATGGGGACCCTAACTTCATCCTAGATTAGATTTTGGGGAAATACTCCTCTCATCTTAATTTATTCCATCTAACTAATGTTCATTGCGTTAGCTATCCAACACTTTGGACGACACCTCAAACCGAGTTCTAAAAATCAAGTTATGGCTCTTTTAAGAACATCTAACACAACCAATCAAATCTGGACATCATCGCTTGTCGACATACCTCCTTCGCCCAACGACGCTTCCATCGCCACCTTCTTCGTCCGACAACACTTGGAATGACGAACTTCAGTAACTCTCTCTTTTTCTGCCCTTCATCGCTTCTTATGTTCTCCTGGCGAAGCTTCATTGCCCGATAACATTACACACGTGGCCCGATAATCCAACGCAAACAGGGTTTTCCCATTGTGATTTCCTACATAAAAACCAGTCCTAATATTGTGATTTCTGCATATTATAGGTCCTAAATTATCATCTAATCACATGTTTTCACCAAACATCAACAATCCAATGTATTATATATTACAGGTACAATTGCTTACAATCTAAGACCACAAACATCACCTAACTCATCAAATCATCACATGTTCATCACAACCAAAAACCTACTACAAATCCACAACTATCTAAACCTTAAATCAATTATAATAATCAAGATAAACACCCCTTACCTTGAGATCTATTGTTTGTTTCTGATTCCTCTCTGTGTTCTACCAAAATCTCTATGTTGTTCTTGCCTCTTTGTGTCCTAGGTCTCTTTCTCCTCAGCGCTCTTCCAATTTTATCGTACAGAATGATCGTATAAAATCCCGAACCTTCTCCTTATACCAAACTTTCCCTCTTAGACCCCTAATAATGAACCTTCCATTATGCCCTCACTTATCCTTCACTAATGACCACAATGTCCTTATTTTCTCTACATCATATATTATTCTGTTTATTTAAATCCAAATAATTCTAAATAATCATTATTAAATCTAAATAATTATAAATAATTATTTACATTCTAAACCTTATTATTATCCCATCCTACATCATACAAATCATTATCTTAAACATCTTATTCATCATGTCATCACTATTGCATCACAGATGCATCACGAATACACATCATATACCGTCACAGAGACTAACACAAAGCACCAAAACATCATATATACCAAACACTTCACAGAGACTCGTATACTCACGCTAAATTAATTAAATAATAATTAATCTATAATTTTGGGGTGTTACATCCATCATCATTTTATTAGTAGGCAGCCCTACGAGCATGAGCATCCTCATGCAGTTCCATTAGCATTTCATTCAAGTATAGTTAGCCTGATACGTTTCCCACTAGCATTTAAGTGTAAGCAACCTTACACATCTCACACATAACATTATCATAATCACATCAAGCATACGTTACAAAAACATACCATGCATTAATAATTTTTTTTTGCACTTTTTATCAAAAAGGAGTGCAAAAATTATAATAATTACCAATAAAATATTTTCTTTTTCGGATTAACTGTTTTTTATTGGTCAATTTGTGTCATGCTCAGTTTCTGATTTGTCACCTTATTGACAAAGGAAGATCTTATTTGTCAATTTAATTTTATTTCCAATTTGGATAGTTTTAACCTAATTTTTTCATCTATAAATATGACATTTTTTTCACACTTTTAGACATCAACAATTCATCTACAATCTCTCACAATTTCAATCACGCACACTTTATTTTTTTGTTGTAAATTTCTTTCTTTTGCGAAAAACTTTCTTTTCAATACTATTGTTGATATTTTAATTTTGATTGATAATTCGAATATGAACCTCTCTTTTAATTCTATTTTATTTTATTATTTTAACCAAATAATACCATAATTTCTTTAAAAACAATTATCTACAACATTCCACAATTTTGCAATTTGTCATGTACATATTTTTCTTCGTATTTACAAAAAAAAATTTCATTCACAATAACTCTTATTTTGTTACGCTTACCATTCACAAATACACATTAACATTCACATTAACAAGGAGTGAAATCGGATCTGACTGAGCAACTACCGGCGTACCACTACAAAAACGTCCTCCCTCCGACTGCCCTGTTCCAATCTCGGCGCACGGCTGCCCTCAGAATCCATCCTCCGATCAAAGCTGCAACTTACCGCGACCCATTCATCAAACACCCACGAAACTCCGATGCATAAATGTACACCGCCTCTCCCACCGTCTGCGCTTAACCCTCTCCCACGCACACAACCACCCTCATCATGCTCCAGCCATCCCCAAATCATGAGCAGTCGAACCTCCGCACACCAGCTTTTCGCGCCGCCTCACGTTCTCTTCTTGTATCTTTATTCAAGGAGTTATTTGGTTTTTGTGTTTAGAGAAGAGGAAATCAAGGAAGGAAGAGACTTAAAAGAGAGAAGATTTGAGCAATTTTCTATCTCTATGAACAGAAGGTTTTCACTCATGGGAATTGATCTATCTCTCTCTATCTCTCTCTTTGCATTGGCTCGTTCTATGTTATTTTAATTTTATCCCTTTTTTATTTAAATGCCACACAACTTGTTCCAATTGGTTTGAGATTTTAAAAGCCAAAATGACATTTACCATCATTGTTGCTTTTTCACCCTTGGAGTTTATTGCTCTTTTATTTTATTTTTTTATTTAACTTATTTTAGTTTTTTAGTTCGATTAATTAGAGCTTAATTAGATGAGTCTCTTAGATTGACTAGGTTTAATTAGTGTATTGTATTTTATTAATTTAGTCTATTTTAATTAATAAAAAAGGTTAAATAAATTTTTGGTCCCTTTAAATATCTTAAAATTTCATTTTTAGTCCCTCTAAATTTTTCTTTCAAAGAATAGTCATTCTAAAAAAATTAAATGTTAACTTTTATCCTCTCTTGCAATTTAGCGACGGTTTTTACAACTTAGCGACGGTTTTATTTAGCAACAGAATTAAAGACCATTTTAGCTACGATTTTGTCAAGAGAGACCAAAAGTTAAAATTTAATTTTTTAGGAGGATCATTCTTTGAAGGAAAAATTTAGAGGGACTAAAAATGAAATTTGAGATATTTAGAGGGACCAAAAACTTATTTAACCCTAACAAAAAATGAAACATTTCTAATACTTTTTAAAATCAAACTAATCCACTATTTTTGCGAATAATAGGATATACATCATCGAGTAATCGATTGGTTAGCTCAATGCCTTACCAATTAATTATTCAAATCAAAACATATAAAATTCATAATCAAATCAAATCAATTTCTTTGCCTCGCGGTGATTTAATTCTAATAAGGATCAACTCCTTATAAAAGTCAATTTCTTTGCCCCGCGTGATTTTATTCTAATGAAGATCAACTCTTCTTCAATCAATCAAAACTTAACCCAAACAACTAACCAACCATCAAAAATATTTTTCTACTAACATAATCAAAATTCAAGATACTTTCAAATAAAGAATTGTTCGGTCTCTTTCTACATGGATGTGAAAACTTTGTCTACCATCATTCAATTTTCAAACTCAGGAAAATTCGAAACCATTCAAAAGCGACTTAACACAATTCTATAAAAAACACTAACCAAACATATTCGAACTACGAAAGACTCTAATTTATTTGCAAGAGGATATGTAGGCACACAATTCAAAAACCAAGGCGAGTCCACTAACAAAAAAAACTAAATTTCCCCCTTGTTTTACTTATATGTGATAATATGATTAAATAGAAAAATATTCCCATTAAGTCCTAGAGCTAAAAATGGTCCCCTTGAGTACAAGGGAGATAAAGGGTGTCTAACACCTTTCTTTTATATAATTAACCCGCGAATCCATTAATCTCTTAAAAAATTAGGGTTTTCCGTTCCTTTCCCATCCTTAAGACACATAAGTAGTGGTGACAACTCTCGTGTTTTTTTGTCAGTTAAGACAACAAACTCTATCAGTATTAAGTTTAACCTATCCCAACGACGGAGATTTCCAAATAATAATCTAAACCTTCATTTGAATGCTAATAATAGTATTCAAAACATGCATTGTGTTACCATAATCTCTAGACAATTTTGTAACGAACTCCACCGGCGAAGCTGGTCTCACGAAATGACCCTCATGCAATTCTTTATTACACCATTCCCATATGATGTGGCAAGCCAAAACCCAAAAAAAAATTCACTCTCCAACAATGTTCCATCTTATATTATTAATCAAGTTAACAATGATCCACTACTGTAAGTTTCCAACTAAAAAGGATGCTCTCATGTTAACATGAACTCCCATCAACCATAGTGCCATCACCAACGAACAATCCCTAAGCATGTGCAATGTTTCCTCCATTATTTTTCCATAATAACTACACACATGTCGCGGCGGGAACATTGAGATTAATCTATTGATTAATTTAATTAAAAAAAATAAGAGTCACCATCGAACTTTATTGTTTCCAAAGGGAAAAGGTCAGAAAAAAATACCCACAAAAAGTTTTGAAAATCAAAACAAAAGAGAGATTTATGTACGAGGGTTGTTTATGCAAGGGGAATGTATTTACACTACTCACATCAATGGTACTCCATAGGAACCACTTGCATTCGTTTATGAAATGTGCTTTTGTTTGTTGATTGATTTTAGGTGAAAAAGACATTTCATCATATTCGAGTGGAAAACTCAACTTACTACCCACAAATATGAGGAAATGAGCATTTGTATCATCTTGATTAGAAGAATTTTACTTGGATTTACTCAACAAGATTGTATCAACATTCAAGTGAAAAATGTCAATCGATTTGACAACATATTGTAGAAGTATAGGAATTTGAATCACTTTGAGAATGGACTCATATCCTTTCTTTCAGAAAAGTGTTTGGTTTGAAAATAAAAAGTGAACTAAGACACAAAAAGAAGTTTGATGAAGTTTGTCTTTTTTAAGAATTTTGAAAGAGTTTGAATATGCTTAAGTATTTTATCATTTATTAAGAAAAAGATTTTCTGATTCACTTGACAAAGTCAAGGTTTGTTAAAAAAAGATATGTAATTTGAAAACAATAAGTTTTTTGAAATAGGGAGAAGATTTTGAAAATTAAAGAAGGGGATAGATGGAGAGACTATCATAAAGCATAAAGTAAAAGAAAAGAAATAAATTATCTAATTGTAAGATAGCCCAAGAGAAAGGCTTTGTGTGTGTAAGTGAACTAACCACAAGAAGAGCAAGCATTTAACATTGATCAAAATGAGCATTCTTTTCACTTTGGACCTAAGCCACAAGTTGAGCATAACGGATGAACAATCACATAAGCATATGAATCTTACAAGCATCAGATGAAATTCCAAATATCAGATGGAGCTCAATGTATTAGTTGAAATTCTAAATATCAAATGAAATTCTAACTATCAGATGAAACTCAATGTATCAGATGAAATTCCCAGTATCAAGTAATCACTCCAAGCAAAGGGAAAAATAAGTCCTAAGTCCAAGGTCCAAAGTACAAAACTCCTCAAACAAAGGATAACAACCAATAGTCCTCAAGAACATATTAAAAGTTTTAAGGGTTTAACCGTTATTAATGCATTTTGATCAAAAGAAAAAGAAAAGCCCAAAAGGCAAAGGTAAAAAGGCACAAAAGTAAATGGCAGAAATGTAAATGACATAAAATTTAAAGTGCTTGAAATTAAATTGCATACAAGTAAAGAGAAAGAAATTAAATGACATTAATGTAAAAGTGCAGAAAAGTAAAGTTAGCATAATAATATTGAGTTAATGTTAATGTTAATGTTAGTAGTTAATAATCCAATTCGGGACAATTTAGCACTATGTTAAGCAATCTAAGTAAACTTATGTAGAAGCTGCACCTATCTGAGGCTGGGCAATAGAAATGTAGATGTAATGCATGTTAGAGAAATGATACAAAGTCATTCTCCAAAAACAATGCAACATCATATTAAAATAAAATAAAAAATAAGAAGGAGATGGGGAGAGAAATATTGATCAAACCAAAATAAACACAATATGAGATTATTTATCATCAATTTGAATCGCCTCTCTTGGTAGCACAATAGGATAAACCTATCATCAATCCAAAGTACCAAGAATGATCCAAATGATCATTTAATGATAAGTTTGAAATGATGAAGGTTCATACAACAAAGCATCACTCAAAGTTCATTGATCTTAACGAAGTATTTATCAATCAAGCCATGATCTAAGTCAACCAGAAGTCAAACCAAAATAGATGAAGAAAAACAATTAAAATGGTTTAAAAAGGGAAAATAAAAGGAAAATTAAAATGGTGCAATAAACATCAAATAAATGTTCAAGAAAATAATGGAAAGTAAAAAAAACTCCAAGGATCAAGATCTCAAACGTTTGGATCCAAATTGTTTCAAAATCAATGAGAAAAAATTGTTTGAAATTAATTTAAAAGACAGAATAAAATAGCAAAAAATGCTAAAATTCATTTTTAAAATCTGAAAAAATAATACAAGGTAGCAAATATTTTTAGGAAATAATGGAAAAAAATTGGAGTTAAAAATATTTATGGAGCTATTTTTAATGATTTTTTGAAAGAAAATGAAAATAAAAGAAATTAAAAAAAAAAGAAATTAAAACCAAACGGCTAGTGCGCGTGGCAAGCTGTCATTGACCGAGGATTCAAATTTCCCACTGTAACGCGAAAAGATCTTCATCTTCAATCTCATAACCCTAGATTTAGCAGGTTATGAAATAGTGGATTCAAGCCAAAATAACTCACGTTTTAGTTTCACTAAACATCGTCGTTGATGTCTTATTGCTCAAGATCAATTTATTTGTTCTAAGCAAGGAGAATTTATAGAAAAATTCAGAAAATATAATAAGCTTCAAAGTAAAATTAAATTCCCAATATAAACAATAAATTTCAGTTAGGTGAGGGCTTTCACTCAGAAGATCAAGAAGAAGAGTGTGGTAACTTGTTTAAGTGAAAATGAAACTCATAGCTACTTGTTTAAAGTAAGCTCAGAAGGTGTGAAAATTATGAGATCGAGTTGGTACTTAGAGGTCACGACAAGATTCTTTAATGCTACAGGTAACTTCAGGTGATGCAGATGGATCATTCTATATGGAGAATTGAAGTTGAAACAAAGAAAAAAAATAAGAAACAAACTTCTGGTTTTTTAGAGTTTCAGATTCTATGGAGGCAGAGTTACCTTGGCTCTTAAGGATTGGAAATGAGTGCAGAAGCTTGCTCTATTTATAGGAAAGAGAGTGAGGCCATGGTACGTGCCAAATTCCTCTTCAATCGTGTGAACCAAGTTTAGAATTTTCTAGATCCAAACCATGTGAAATTGAGTGACGAAAAACATGACTTGAGCACCACAATGACTCGTTTTACATTTAGTGGGACGCGTTTATCAACAACAAGTGTGATGCACATGGGTTAGTGGTCCCCAAAAGAAGTTTGACATCATTTCTAGTTACAGATCATGTACCAAAATACAGAGTTAGGTCACCATGTTCTAGGTTAGGCCAAAT